CAAGGTATTTGGTATACTCCTGCAGTGGTGAGGGGGTCCCTTCTGTCCTTTGCTGACCGTAACATTTGTTGTATTTTTGTGGTGGGCTTGAATACTGTTTGTTGGTTGTGTTTTTTCAAAAGTTTCCCCATGCGGTCCATGACCTCTTTGATGTATGGCAGAAATACTTTATTTGTGGGTAGTGTTTTTCTTCTTCAGTTCGATGTTATTTTCTAGGTTTGATGGCTCTTGTGATTTCATTTTTGGAGTAGCCACTTGCCTGTAGGGCCCAGTTCAGATGATTGAGTTCAGTGCTGAGAAACTGAGCTTCACAGTTCCGATTTGCCCGTTCTACCAGTGTTTTGATTATGCTTCTTTTTTTGCTGTTTAAGATTGTCTAATTTTCTCTAAAATGCCTCCAGCGTTGGAATGCTCACCATATCCTGAGGTAATTGGTTCCATTGTCTGGTCTATGTTAAGAAGTTAGGATGTTTTTCTTGATATTCAGCTGAAATCTGGCTTCCTATACCTTAAACCTATAACGTAAGCATCCTGCACTCTGGGATGATTGAGAACAGAACCTGTCCCTCCTCTGTATGACTACCTTTCAAGTATTTGAAAACTACTATCATATCTCCCCTCAGTCTTCTTTCCTCAGGCTAAACATGCCCAATTCTTTCTGTCTTTTCTCATAGGGCTTGGTTTCCAGTCCCTTGATCGTCCTTGCTGCCCTTCTCTGAACTTGTTCCAATTTGTTGGTATCCTTAAAATGTAGTGTTCAGAACTGGACACAGTACTCAAGATGAGACCTAACCAGTGCCAAAGAGAGCGGGATTAGTACTTCATATAACTTGGAGACTGTACTTCTGTTAATGCAGCCTAAAATAGCACTGGCCTTTTTGAAGGCAACCCTGTTGGCTCATATTCAGCTTGTGATCTACAATTCCAAGATCCTTCTCACTCATAGTATTACAGAGGCAAGAATCCGTCATCTTAGAACTGAGCATTTGTTTTCCCCATAGGTGTAGAACTTGTCCCTATTAAATCTCATGTTGTATACAAAAAGTCTTTAAAGTACAACTGCACCTTTACTGTGATTAACATACTAACAGAGCTATCCCTCCAACATAAAAATAAGTGAGGTATGCATGTAACAATATTTGTTATCAAAGCCTTCTATCTGACCGCTTCTCTCACTGTGAGAGGAAATAAAAAATTGCACCTGGGCAAGGAATGGGCTGCTAGAGAAAGGCCAAAGCACTCTACACCTCCACTGACAGACCACAGTACCTCTTTGCTTGGAGCAGGGAAGCAGTATCTATTGCAAAGAACACTGGAATTGTCTCCTGTTTATATGGAGAAAAAATTTAGATGTTTTGTACTATATCTCAGGGTGAGATATAGTACAAAAGGAACAAGGGTGAGGCAGCAGCATTCCATCCTCAGAAGGTTTGCTCCTCTCTAACTGCCACGTTTGCTTCCATTCTGTATGCAAATAAAACTTCTGGAGAAAGCATCTTCATTCTTTTTTATAATCATGCACAAGCAAGCTATTTCAGAAGCATACATGGCTAAGCATGTAACCTGTCCATATAGCTAATGTTCAGGGTGGGTTTTTTCCCATAAAGTAGCTCACAAAAATAACCATTCTAGACTAGGCAAGTGTTCCAATGCTGTAACAGATTGGAAAGCTTCAGAAGCCAAGCTGCCCTAGATATTAATCTGAAGACCAGATTTTGTTTGGAACATGTTACTGGAGGGTTGCAATGGGGTACATGGGTGAAGTTTTTAGGCCAACATTGTATGGCAAAGTGCACTGTTGAGTGAAAAAGCCAATAACTGCTCCAATTTGGCAAGATGAAATTTTGTGTAGAACAACTCACAACATTAATGAGACCCAAGAAAGAATCACCGCAGGAAAATGTTTTTATCTTCTTTATTTTTTCTGTTGTTTTTGCCTGAACTGCAGGAAGAGGCTAACAAACTATCTTCAAAAAGTAAAAACTCATTTTTGTTGCTTTTCTATTTGGAATTTGGTACAAGACAAAATTCACTCACTGTATATGTCAACACAGAGAACTAAAGGAAATTGGAACACAACTTATAATCCTAAATCAATTAAAAATTTTATACATCAAGAAACCTCCTAATTCCTCCTAATTTCATTAAGCAACTCACAGAAACTCTAGTAGGTTAAGGAAATGCTACTAAACAGTAGCATAAATAATAGCAGGAAAATAAATAAATAAACTACTAAAATTTATGCATTATTAATTCTATCTTATCTGAAAGACCTGTCTAACATTTGAAAGCTTAAAAACTAGAGATGCACATACCCACACACAGGTGGACATAACGCCACAATTACCCCACACAGGTGGACAAAATGCCACAAATTTCCAGAATCATAGAGTAATGGGGTTGGATGGGGCCTATAAGGCCATCGAGCCCAGCCAGTCCACTCACTGAGCCCAGTCCACTCACTGATCAGCCACTGCTGCAGGCGCTGCAAAGCCTTCCAACAGCTCCGGAGATTGCGTTTGGCTCGCCGCTCCTGGCAGGAGGTGGGACGACAAGCCTCTCTGCTAGGTCAAAGAGTGGCTTGCCGAATGCAATCTCCAGAGCCACTGGAAGGCTCCATCGCACCCGCGCCGGATCAGTGAGTGGACCCTCGCTATGTCCACCTGTGCACATTGTATGAATACAAATATCCCATGTCTATTAAAAACCTTTCAAGTTCTCTAAGTTAATTGAAAACTTGGATTTTTGCTACAGAGCTCTCTGAATTCAAAGTATGGATACTTTAATTCAAAGCCAGATATGTGTACAGTACCAAAGGTCACAAAGAAGACTGAATATTAATCGTAAATAATTTTTTACAGGATTTGAAAAGTTCAGAGATATCTTTTAGAATATTAGCTTCTTCCCATCACTGACTTTTCATTTAGAAGAGGAGGATGTCATGTTTCTATACTAACAAACATTTTGAGAAAAGGAAACAAAAGGTTCTCACCTCCCAAGACAGTATAGTTGCTACAGTTCAAGATTATTCAGTCTTGTTTATTTGTTTTTTTACAATAATATTAAAATATGTATGTTCTTCTACAACAAAGGCAAGGAGAAGATATAAGCAAATTCACTACTAGATCTGAGTAATCAGCAAGAAATCCCAAAGTCCAAACAGTTTAACAATAGCAAAGAAAAATTAAAGAGGACCACACGGTGGACCGGCTTGCATCAATATATATTAATGATGTAAGCCACCTTTGTATTGTTTTTAGCTTTAAATATTGTATTTTAATGATGTAGGCTGCCTTGGGTCCTTTTTAAGGACAAAGTCACAGTAAAATTTAAAATATTTTTACCCTGGCTTTCTCCTTCAAAAAGACCCAAGATGGCTTATGTTCAGAAAAAGACAACATTTTAAAGCTAAAAACAGTAACTATACAAATATTAAAAATGATCAAATACCATTCTGGAAAATAGTAAACAAAAGCAATACTAAAAACACAATGAAAGCAGTAAGGCAGCCACTGAGGAAAAGCTTGCCTGAAGAGAAAGATCTTCACCTGCTATCAACCCATCACTTATCTCCTATCACTGTAAAGCAGCTATTTTTGACTACTTTATGGATTTCCCCAGCCTATTTTAGAGCTCTGTTATAACCCTGATCTGCAGTAATCTTGATGCAGATCTTTACTGTACTATTTGTAAAGCACTACAGAAACTTGCTCATGTTACAGCTTCACACAGTTAATCAGCATTTTGCATTTAGGCATTTGCAATGGATTGTTGCTGGTCAAGCCCAAGTTGTAATAAAAAAGAAGAAAAGAAGTAAGATTCCCAAACTTTTAAGTTTGTTTCTCTCTGTTCCACAGCATTTTCACAAATGGAGAAACCTACAGAGGATTGTTGGAAGCAAGAACTGGGCTTCCACGGAAGCGACCATAAAACTGGCAAAACATCTGAAGGAGTTAGATGCAATGAGTAATGGAAACAGGGACAACAAAATTAGGACTGCAATGTGGGGAGGCACACCAGTCTGCAACAAAGGGGTGGTGTATGAAGTGTGACAAGTGAGCACTTCACTCACCTGAACAACTCTGGGCGAGGCATCCCTTTATCATAAGGTATCTCTGTCTCAGGAATATGTCAGAGAGCAATGAATGTAGCTACAGTATTTGTTTTTTCAAAGGGTTCCCCATGGGAGAATAAAATCAAATAGTGTCTCAGGAATATGTCAAGACAGCAATGAATGTAGCTATTTGTTTTTACAACGGGTTCCCCATGGGAGAATAAAATCAAATAATACAAAAAGCAACCCACAAGAAAGAACATGTCAAATGCTCTGGCTGGCTTCTCTCTAGCATGTTGAAAATCTGCCCATCTTTAGATTATCTTCCTGCCAGACTGACCCAGCTCTTCTTTTATAGCAATGCTTCCCAACTTTGGGTCCCCAGCTGTTCCTGGACTACAACTTCCAGAAATCCTGGCCAGCACAGCTAGTGGTGAAAGCTCCTGGGTATTTTAAATCCCAAGGTTGAAAACCATTATTTTAGAGGGATGGGAAAATATGGCCCTCCAGCTGCTGGCTCATTGCAACTCCATGCTGCTGCCATGGTAAAAAGATAATGGGAATGACAGTTCAACAACATCTGAAGGGCCCCTTGTTCCCTGTCCCTCTCTCACAGTGTGTTGCGGTGCTTAGTGTATTGGTGTGGGCTTTGTGTTCAAAGACAACAGGCTCGCTGGGTGCCCTCCACCCAACGATCACACCGCTCCTCCAGATCGCACTCGCACGACCGCTGTAACGGGGCAAAAGGCAAAAGTGCTTGGTTTCAAGCGGAGCTCCCGTCGGGCAGCGAAGAGGGATCCCGGCCGGCACTCACCCGCAGGGTCATGCTCTTCGCCACACCTGGAGGAAAACCCAGCCGGTCCGTCGGCTGCAGCAGGAGACGGTAAAAGTCGGTTTTGCGATATAGAAAGCCGAAGAGGATGTTCAGGAACTCCTGGACGTTGCCCACATGCTGCAAAATGCCCAGCAGCGCCTGGTCGTACATGTCCGTCAGAGCACCGGCGGGCTCCATGGCGTCGAGCAGGAGAAACCTCCGGCGCGGGCGCCCCAGCAAGCAGGGTTGACGGCGGTTCGGAGGAAAACCGAGGGCTCGGCAACGAGGCTGAGCGCTCCCGGTGGCTGACGCGGAGGCCCTTCTCCCCCCACAGCCGCCCTCCGGCGCCCCGAGTCTTCCGCTGTCACGGCAACCCGGGCGCCAAGCACTTCCGCTTTCCGGTCCGTGGCAAAAAGGCGCCCCTCGGCAACTTCCTGTTCGGAGAAGCGGGGTGGTTCCGCCCCCGCCAAGCCGAAGGGCCGCAGACACTTCCGGCTGGTTTTCTCCTGGTGGGCGTATGCGGGACAGGAGCGATAGAAGCAAATCATCATCATCTTAGAACTGCAGAGCTTGAAGGGAGTCTTTTGTCCACACATTGACACGGGTCTGGAGCATGGCTCAGCCCTAGACTTTAGACGTAGCCCGTTGCTGTTAACATAGATACTGAAACCACTTTGATGGCGGTCAAAGATAATGGGATCTGCGTTTGTGATTTGCCCTCATGTTGGAAACAATTTGGATGACCCTAATAGGGTTTTCATTTTAAGCGAGATGTTTTAAGAAGTGCTTTTACCAGTCCTACCTGTCCCCAGTGAGCTGCCAAGGGGCGATTCGAACCGAGGAATCCTAGATGGTTTCTCTGTCCAGTACACCACACTGAATAACCAGAAAGAAAACTGCCTTTTCTATTAGATTTGTTCCCCACCCAACTGGCCCCAGTATTGCCAACTCTCACTGGCAGCAGCATCACACCAAGGACTTTCCCAAATTATCTGCTGCCTGGTCCTTTTAACTGGAGACGCTGAGCTTTCAACCTGTAAAAACTGTGAGGATGGGAAAGAGCACTTTTGTCTTAGAATAGGAGCCTTACCTATTCAGTCCTGAAATAAGCCAACAGTTACACAGATGCTAACGAGGAGTGCAGGTGGCATTTTTTGAAATGCCACTCAAGAATTACTGCCTGGGAAATTGGAATTGTGGTCCAGAAACGCAATTTCTGTATACCTCTAGTGCTAGCTACACACAAAGTAAACTCCCCTCATCAAGCTCTCGAGCTCCATAACAAGATGACAAAAAGTACTTTTCAGTTCTGATGGCTATTGCAGGGGATGGATTGGTGTGTTTGTGTTAAGAAACTGCTTGCTGTTACTTGAAATAGCTGTGGAAATGAACTGAGAACTTTGACAGTATGCCTTTGGATTGTTAATATACTTGAGATACACTACCTGCCTTGCATGGACACCACTATGCTTCCCAGAACATCTGGCTATGTACTACAGAATATTATTAGAAGTTGCTTCTACTACCCCATATATTGACTTATACTGTAATTGCTTTTGATTTTTATGTAAACTTGTGTTACGGAATTCATGTCTCCAGGTTTTGCACCTGGAGGATAAATACCTGGCATTGAGAATCTATGTCCAGAGGCTGCTGTTGAAAACTGACATGATACAGTTGGCCACAAACAAGACAAAAGAAGGTTCTGTTCAATCTGTGCACCTTGCTCATTCTTGTCTGGTATTAGATCATCTGCTATTGAACACCTGAATTGTACTTGTATGCTGCAATATGCACTCCACATTGTTGTTGGTGTTTAGTTGTTAAGTTGTATCCAACTCTTCGTGACCCCATGGACCAGAACACGCCAGGCCCTCCTGTCTTCCACTGCCTCCCGGAGTTTGGTCAAATTCATCCTTGTAACCAATTCTAATTCTTTTATATGCAGTCATACTGGGATCTGTTTTGAAACCCATTTAATGCGTTCCAATGGGGAAATTACCTCATCATCCAGCGAAGATTGCCCATAGGGAAGCCATATTCCAAGCACCGATCACCTGTAAAAATGGCTGCCCTGCGAAGCATGGGTCCGGAAAACACAGGGCAGCCGTTTTGTGAAGCCGAAAAAATCGTGTCTTGCGAACAAACGGTTCGCAAAGCACGGACCTAATCGACGTCTAGCGAAAATCCCCCATAGGAAACATTGTTTTGCGATCACAAAAAAATATCGTCCTGCAGATTTGTCGTTTAGCGGGGTCATCGTCATGCGAGGTACCACTGTACTTAGAGATGTTTACCAGTCAAAACCTTTACTTCCCCAGCTTGGCCAAGGAAACATCCTGGGGGAAGGCATCCGCTCCCAAATCACTGAAAAAGGAGCACAGCTCTTCAGATGGAGAACTGCCCTCCCTGACTGAGGACACACTATCGTCCTGCAGATTCGTCGTTTAGCGGGGTCGTCATCATGCGAGGTACCACTGTACTTAGAGATGTTTACCAGTCAAAACCTTTACTTCCCCAGCTTGGCCAAGGAAACATCCTGGGGGAAGGCATCCGCTCCCAAATCACTGAAAAAGGAGCACAGCTCTTCAGATGGAGAACTGCCCTCCCTGACTGAGGACACACAGCCACCTTGGTGGAAATACATCCCCTACACCACCGAAGAACAAACATGTTTTTTGAAAGGAAAAAAACATAACTACAGAAAAAAAGGTCAGACAAGAAAATGGTTGAGTTTGGATGTTGTCGTGCTGGCAGACCCAGGCCTTGAGGAGACGTTTTCTAGCAGTTGGCCTTCTGGCAGGTGGTCTCTTCTCTTCAAGGAGGCCTCAGAGATTCCTGGAGCGGTGGCGTCCTGCCTTTGGAGAAATGGAGAGAAAAGAGTTGAACCTTCAGATGAGATTTGCTAGTTCCACTTCATGAACTTCCAGCCAATGGCCAACAGACCATGAGAGTTTTATGCCAGCCTAATGCAAACGGCACCACTTTGGCAGAGAGATGATCTCCTGTTAAGAAATCATGATAGATATTCGCTTATCTGTGCTGAGCCACGTGACTCAAGCTCAACAGGTAACATCTACGTATGGCAATCATTGAATTGGAGACAGTTACTCCATTTGTGTTACATTTGTGAACACAACAGGATTTTTACCAATACACTTGAAAATCAGAGGGTGGCTCTAACCATTCTGGTAGTTTTCTTATCTATGAGAAACAAGTGTTTTATATGGCTAACACATCTCAGTTGCCTTATTGCTTTGCTTTACAATAGGGATTGCTCACAACAATAAAAATGCTCTTCTCACCACCACTACCACCAGCTTTATGTATAGCTTGCATCGAAGCTCAGAGGGATTAGGGGAGGAACTCGAGATATTTGACAAAGGATAGGACATAACTATCAACCAAAAGGTTCAAGTGTCTCAACCTTGAGCCTTCGTGATAGCATTGCATTTAGAAATTAATCATCTTTTCTCCTTTTTAGTGGTTCAGTTCATTCTTAATGATTCCAGCACATCTGCAGAGATACCAGACTATCTGTCAAATTGCCACTTAACCCGTGACAAATAGTGAGTACTGCAGCTTCTAGGAAAGTGACTCCTACATTGAGTAACTGCCTGGGAGCGAACATGTATCTATATTAATTGGTTGGGCAACCTGAGAAGAGCCAAGAGGTCATTGATCTCACCTTATTTCATTCCCACTGTATATGGACTGGGATTTCTTCTTTGTCTTTTGCTTTCTGTAGCGTAAGACGTAGATCACTAATGCTGCGAGCAGAAGCAGAGCTAAGAGGGTCCCTAGAACAGCGCCAGCAATCACTCCTGCTTGGGAAATGCCTTTTTTGAAACATACAAAACACAGGACTTTAAGAAGACTCCAAGCTTCAAGAGGGGCATGAAAAAGCCAGCACCAAGTAAGCAAATGTCCTACAGCATTCCTGGGTGGATTGACAAAAACAGAAAGACAGTTGTTCTGTGTTATGTTTAATGAAACTCCGTTGCTTGAATTCTGTTTTTTTTTCTTTCTTTTCAGAAACAAACAAACAGGAAGGACAGAAGGAAGGATGGACAGATGGACAGAAGTATTTTCCTCCTTGTGAGTGAAGGCAAAGACACCTTTTTCTAGAAACTGTTATCATTTTGTTTAATTAATCTATAATATGAGCAAATAATGCTATTCAGGAGGTCCTCCATATCTGAGGGGGATTGGTCCCCTCCCATATTGAAAATGTGTATTAGAGCAAACGCTGTTTTAATAGCGAACACTAAGAGCGAACACTACTGGTCTCTGGCTCCCTCTAGGGGACCGTTATGGTAAATTCTACTTTAGAAATATATATATTGCCTCTTATATACAGTATATTGCCTCTTTGCAGATGATGCAGCTGTTGTTGCCCACTCTGCTGAAGACCTCCAACAAAACATGAATCATTTTAGCAAGGCCTGCCAAGACTTTGGATTAACAATCAGCCTGAAGAAAACACAAGTCATGGGCCAGGGCGTGGACTCACCTTCCTCTATTACCATCTCCACATAAAAATTGGAGGTTGTTCATGACTGTATTGCCAATGATAAAGGACTGTGAGAACTTTAGTCCAAACCAACTGGAGGGCCGAAGCTTTTTCACCCCTAGAAGTTCAGGCTCAGAAATGCTGAATAGTCCCTACGTGGACACACATGTGGTGGGATGGGATTCTCGTTCCCACGAATCTGACAACGAGAGCTCTTATCACGAGAGTCCAGGCTTCGATACACCAAATACTCTTTAAGGTACCTCAGGACATTTTGTTGCTTTTCTTGCCAAAGAGGGCTTCCCCTTTCCGGTTCCACATAATCAGGCCATTGTGAGAAAGATCTAAAAAGGCAAATAAGCATGGAGCCATCACAAATTGTTATGATTTGTATTGTGAAAGGGCTTCACTTTGAAAAGCATTTTAATTTATTTAGTTAGTTAGTTAGTTAGTTAGCCAGCCACCTAGCTACTCCACTATCTTACCAGTGCTTCCGCAATGGTAGGGTAAACCACTGAAATAGGAGAGAACCCACAGGAGGGCTCTTTTGGCTAGTAACCCCTAAAATATGGAGCTGGGCATGAGTGGGTTTCTAGACCTAATAGTGTCCGGCATGTTCTTTTGCCCCTCTCTTGCACAGAAGCCAGCCTCTTCCCCTGCAGAAAAGTCACTGATGCAAATCGCCTCCTAAAGGAAGAAAAAAGATTACAGATTTCTGCCTCTGAAGCTAACAAAAAAAGATTAAAAACAAAAGACAAACTGCAATTTCTAAGTTTTTTTTTCAGGAGCTGCTTCCCTGCAGTGTAAGACAGTAAAAGAAGTGCCACACCTAAGAGGGTGTCTACTCTGGCACATGTTATCTCAAAGGGCAGGGCTATGAAGACAA